ATGAAAGAAGAAGCTGTCAACAAGTTAGAAATATTTGTTTTCCTTTTGTTTGAATTTGGGCAATTTTGGTCCGACTACCCAACCCCTCCCTCTCCCCCACTCACACACAGTCATGAACATTAAAAATGATCTGCCCTACGTGTTTCACTCACTTGTCGTTGGTTCTTCTGGTAAGGTAAAGACCACGTCTTCGAACTCGGACCGATGATGAGGATACTTGGGTTTTGTTTGTGGAGCTGAAGGAAGTTTCTGGTGATCTGAGTCGGTCAGCTCGCCGTACATCGAGACCACGTTTACTTTTACCTCAGAGTGAACAACTTTAACACCACCATGTTCCGTCTGGGAGGAAAAAAGAGTTTTGAATTAGTAATGTTCATACCACTTCTTTGAATTCAGTTAAGTGATGACGACTTTAATGATGATGATGATGATTATGATGGTGATGATGATTAATATGGTGACGATGGTGATGATGATGTTAATGGTTGGATTTCTTGGGGGAGATGAAAGAAGTTTCTGGTGATCTGAGTCGGACAGCTCGCCGTTCATCGATACCACTTTTACGTTTTCCTCAGAGTGAACAACTTTAACATCACCGTGTTCCGTCTGGGAGAGAAAAGAGTTTTGAATTAGTAATGTTCATACCACTTCTTTGAATTCAAACTGATCATGATGGTGATGGTGATGAAGATGATGATGGTTGAGTTTCTTGGGGGAGATAAGGGAAGTGTCTGGTGATCTGAGTCGGATAACTCGCCACAAATTGACACTAATAATTTATCCTGGGACTGAAAAACTTTTACACCACCACGTTTCGTCTATGAATAAAATAATAAATTCAAGAATTCGCCAACTTCAATTTATGATATCATTCACTGTCATAACAGTTTTGAATCGGTATTGTTTCAAGAATTGTAAACTGAATAAAAAATAGTAAGCAATCTATGACATGTACTGAGAATTAATTAATTAATTATCCGTACCTAACTGACAATAGTTTTCAAGATATTCAAATATCTTTTATGAGAATAATATAATATTTCATAACTTTTTTGTTTTTTTCTTATTTGAATTGTTTAAAAGGGCATTTGAGACCCCTTCCTTTTTTAATTCTTAGTTCAAAATATGAACAATAATGACGTGGTTCACAGGCAACGGTTAGTTGTCACTCTCGATACTTAATCTAATTTCAGTCTATCATAAACAAGCTATCAATGTGTTTATAAATACTGTTTCTCTAATACAGAGTGTAATTATCTAACTATTTGTATTCTTACGCAGGCAAGTTGTGAGAAAAAGTTGGTGACTTTGTTCCAAGAAACTTTTCCTAATTTGGCCTGCTTCTCATCGGACTGTGGCTGTGGTGATGCAGACTGGTTGCTGTTGCTATGGTAACCTGAAGGCGTCACTTTATTTTTCTTACGAGTCATAATCCTTTTTACGTTTCCGTATGGACGAAGTCGTTTCTAGTAATGGCATTACATTTTATCCTCCTTTATCGAGTGTTATGCGAGGATATTAAGTAAATGTTTTGTGTTCGCTATATCACTACGCTGTCTCCATGTCGTCACTACTCGTTGCTAATTTTTATTTGTGACGTCATTTCCATGCGCTTTACAAGGCGCGTAGTCTGTGCGCATCAACCTGAATAATAATTGTGACGTCTTTTTCCGGTTTCTAAAGTTGTGAGTGGCGAGTTATGAGAAGCGTGCAACCAAAACTTCTTAAACTTCTTGAAAGTAGGTCATTTTGTCATTAATATAAGTGAGGTATATGAAATAAGATATAACACAATGACCACCTCACTCCCCACGAGGTGACGGGTGTCTGAATATTTGTCATCTTTTCAAAATGCTCTCCTTAACCGGCCTCGTTATCTCTGTTTTGGAGGTTCTTCTCATCTCCATTTTTCTTCTACCACTTCTACTTCTATCTGTATTACAGCACTTATGGATGAAAGCAATATTGGGAGGCAGGATGCGCTCATCATGAATCTGGGAAAGGAAAAAGAAATGATGAACCTGAAAAATAAAATTAGTAAATATGCTCATCGAGTGTGTGCCTTAGAAAACAAGATGGATGCATGAGAGTTGTACTCTCGCCGTAACTGCCTGTAAGAGTCTTTGGTTGTCCAGAAAAAAGGGGGAAAACAACGATAAGATTGTACTTGACCTAACAAAAGCGATTGAAGTTGATCTCATGTTAGAAGACATCGAAAGGAGTCATCGTATTGGTCAAGAGAAAGATGATGGACTCCGAGTCATCATCGTGAATTTCAAATTACTGTCCGAGGGAAAACTACTGAAAGGAAACAAAAAAAGCAATCGTAGAAGAACAAAAATCAAAAACTGCTGCAAGACACCAAGGAGTCGCAAATTGTTTTAACAGCTTGGAGCTCGGACGGTCGCATCAATGCATTGATGAAACGACCGAAACATGAAACAAAACTGATAAGAAACTCATTTCTGTTATAAAATAAACCCACTCGTATTACTTCACAAACTGCTACTTTGATAGACAATATTTATTAATGAAAATAGAATGGATTTTAATTGCGGTAGGTTTTCTAATGACATTACTAATCATTTACCAATATTTCTGCTTTGTAAAATTGAAATAATGAATACATGTATAAAGTCCAACAAATCATAAAATATTTGTAAATCAACTGAAAATAGTGTGCATTCATTACAATATGATTTATATAATACTGATTTGTCTTCATTATATATTTTATCAATTTTAGAGCACATTTGTTCAGTAATATAAGGTTGCATATGCCACTTTTCCGAATAAAACAATGTTTATGTAATAAAAATATTGCATTAGTTGCTAATAAAATCGGAAGGATAAAGATTAGAATTCGTAAGCTTTGTTTTTCTGTCACACTAATGAGTAATATTAGGAAGAAAAATATATTATACAAAAAGTTTTTACATGATACAACCGCTTCTTTTGAATTACGATATAAGCAATATAGCAATATAGATTTAGATTTAATTCACATTTCATTAACTGATGCTCAGATATTTTAGATTCAGTGCCTGAAACAGGTGCAGGTAATAATTGTAATGAAATATTGACTAATTCTTTTTCTGATTCATTATTCTTTCACCCTATTTTATCGAAATTGAAGTTATATCGGTCTGTAAGTCATTTACATAAAATGGATTTGACACTATAAATAAAATTCTCTTTGATAAAGTTATTAACAGATTGTTAAACCAATAACTTTCATTTTTAATTTATCATTAATAAATGGAAGTATCCCATGTACACTTAAACATTCAAAAATTGTTCCTTCCCATTTATTGAAAAAATATCGATCAATATCCATTTTGCCATGTCTTTGTACATTATTAGAAAAATGTGTGTATAATCACCCGTATTCATTTCTTACACATTTTTTTTAAAAACTAATTGTCAATATGGTCTAAGATGTTATCATTCTACAGTATATGCATTTATATTTACAGAATAACATTGCTTCAGCTATTTCATGCAATGATATTAGATTTGAAATTTTCATGGATCTTTCTAAAGCTTTTCATCTTTAGTCAACCATCATACATTATTATCTAAACTGTGTTATTATGGTATTCAGGGTCTTTCCCTGATGTGGTTTAAAGGTTATTTAAGAAATTGTTATCAGTATACTGCCTGTCATAACAATTAATTTGAATATAGTTTGATTAAATATAGTGTCCCACAAGGAACAATATCGGGACCTTGTTTGTTATTTTTACATTAATCATCATCAGTAAATAATTCGTTATGTAAATTTAAATATACAATGTATGCTGATGATACCGCATCATTCTCTGATTCAGATATAGAAAGCATATAATGTTAATACAGAATTAGATAAAATACCAGAATATATATTATTATAGTAAATAAGTTAGTGTTGAACTTGAATAAGACTCACTTTATTTCTTTTCATATTAGAGTGCATAACATTGTAGAAAAACGTAAAAATATGAAGCTGAAAATTAACTCTACAATTATGAATAGAACTGAAACAGTTACATTTCTTGGTGTAGTCATAGAGGAAAACTTACGCTGGGATTGTCATGTTGAAAATATCATTAAAAAGGTATCAAGGTGTGTAGGTATTATGCATAAAATTAAATATTATCTTCCTTTATCAGCATAATATTTGTATATATAATTCGCTCTTATTGTCCAATTTAGTGTATTGTATTGTATTGCAGTCCGGGAGGATTGTAATAAATCAAAAATAGATGTTCTTTTTAGATTACAAAAGAAGGCATTAAGAGGATAATGTACTGACAGTCATTGTTTCGCCCATTCAGCCTCTTTATATAAGAAACTATAAACCCTGAATACGTATCATTTATATATTAAGTTTTATTTAGTATTTATCGGATTCTTGTATTTTAAGACACTATACTGCCAACAAATATGTACAATATGTTTTGTTTGAATAATTATGTACATGTTTATAATACTCGTAAAAGTAATTTGTTTCATTTATGGTTAGTCAAATCTAACTTTTGCAGAGATCAGTACATCATAGATTACCAGTTATATGGGATACTTTCCCCAATGATTTTCGTACGTGCCCAACTACAATTTAATTTAAAAGAAAACGTAAATACTTCAATATGAATGATTTATATCAGTTGTAATTCTTTTGATTATTTTATCTATATATTTCTGATATAATTTACTTGTTTTATGTCTTTTCTTTTCTGTTGTGTTTGTTATATGTTTAAAGTAAAACTGTCAATATTTCTGCAAACTACTAACATTTTTCTTTGAGGTAATTTATACCAAAAGGCCTCTCAGGCTTTATTCTATTCATTTTCCAATATCATTTGCAGGTGATTCAAAACTTCGATGTAATTTTTATTTGTGCATTTGCATCGAAATTGTTAATGCTTAAATATTTTTTTTGCTTTTTATATGAGAATGAAATAAAAAGTAACACAACAGTTATATTTTTAAAAAACACCTAGAAGTGGTATGACTGCTTCCTAAAGATTCTCTTCTCCATCGTCTACTCTGCTCTCTCCGTCGTTCCTTTTCTCATCCACACGTATGGCTGTAAAATCATAGTCCCTGTTTGCCTTGTATCGCACATAGAGACGGAAAGCAGTGATGAAACACACGGCATAGATTATCATAAATACCGCGTACATGCTCGGAAACTTTATCATGGCCCCTTCCATCACGTGATCATCTCGAAAGGTCAACTTGACGAGCGCGAGGGCGAGCGCGACGTTTTGGCAGCCGGTCTCGAAGGCGATGGTACGGCAGTGTTCGGGAATCCGTCGACTGACGAAGGCGATGGCGTACCCGACGAGGAAGCCGATTGGCGGAACGAGAGCGGCGCTGAGCCAGAGTTCCCATGTGGCAATGAAGAGTGTGGGGACGGCGATGTAGTCTAGGACTACGCTTACGATGAGAAGAATGATACCGATGATGGTGCCAGCCTGAAATTAGATTAAAAGAATATGTAAAGGAAAAATTAAATACTAGAGTAAAATAAACGTAATCAACAAAGTACAATAATTGTTATCTAAAGTAGATCATTTTAATAAACATGTACATGTATATCTTTCCTCATACAAATTCGTCATCAGTCCGCCCACTCAAATGAAGAAAAAAAAAACGAATATTTGTCATTAAAAAAACTTTAAAATGGAAGAAGGCATATATTCAAATTTTGAGTACGCATCTTGTACACAAAAATATTTATTTATGTTAAGCTAGGGGTACAAATGGAATCTTAAATGTCTTATATTATAGATTAAACTGCTGACTGTGGGCATGAAGTAATACATTCTCCTAGACATAGTTGGACTGCAGCATCGGCCATGAAATTTTGAAATGGTCGGAAATAAGTTGCAAATTAATCTACATGAAATTTTGACATAGTTTAGCAAGATTTTTTTTTTACCATCGAAATTGGTTTGGTCCACCTCTCCTTCTTCCATCTGATCAACATGCCGATGAGGACCGGGATTACAATGGCTACCAATCCGATGATGATGTTGATGAAGGGAATGACTGCTTTCTTATCCGTCCAGCGGCGACTGTAGATAAGGAGATTGAGCGGCATCATCCCAATGGCTACTACCGTTGACACAGCTGTCATACAAATGCTGAAATGAAGAGCATAATAATTAAAAAAATATTTTAAAAAGGAAACGTTGAAATTAGCTCATGGAGATCGGCGAAAGAAAACTACAATTTGAGGGCAGCTGTTGTAATTGTGTGGAAGGCTTTTGACTCTAACACAATGGTAATATTAAATTACTGGTATTATATGTAGAGAACAACTAAGAAGGGAACGTCTAAATCAGCTCACGAAGATCGGCAAAGGAAAATTGCACTTTGAGCGCTGTTTTGATTGTGGAAAAGGCTTTTGACTCTAAAACGAGGGGGTCTGGGTTCGAATCCTGTTTGGTGTTTACAACCTTGGACAAGGTATTTTACCCATGCCTGTCCCTCTCGACCCAGGTGTAGGGTACCTCACTATGAACATGACGGACAAAGAAAGAGGACAAAATATACAGTTCCTCATTCTACCCTCAACCATTGCTGTGGTAGACAAAGGAACATCCCTTCACTGCTTGTGTGTAAAAATTTGTAGAACAGGTGTCACACGCATATTCACCTGTTCTAATTATTTTACATAATAGCAGTGAAGGGATGTTCCTTTGTCAACCACAGCAATTGTTGAAGGTAGAATGAAGAACTGTATATTTTGTCCTCTTTCTTTGTCCGTCATGTTCATAGTGCCTGTAAATGTTGGGGACAATAACAATAGCAGGATCCGCAGGAAGAGAATGGTTAATTCTGATGAGGCTATACCCTTGGTACATTAAAAAAAAATGCTCATGAAAATTCATTATCTCTGAATTTCTCCTCTTACATTCCAGATATAATACTAAACGCTTCATTGCAATTTACGCACCAGAAAATTTCTATGATTACAAAGTGGAAAAGCATAATTCCAAATGTTGTGGTTCTGTCCAATTAATTATTGCACCATTTTCCTGGAAATGATTGATGCCTCATCTGCACATGAGGCATCAATTCCCTGCGCCAATCAAGGAAATTGAGGCAGATAAATCCATAGGAAAGGCACCAGACGCAACCTTATTTTAGGAATAAGGACGTGAGGGGCGTTGCACAAAACTTGTTCCAAATGACATGCATACAGGTTTAGAACAATTTATTTTCGACTTATTTCTATTCATCCATTTACTCACTTTAGTAAGTTCGGCATTGAAAGTTGTTTCAACAACTTTTTGATCTTTATTAGAGAAATATAAAGCAGTATCATCTGCACACAAATGAAATGCACATTTGTCAATTACAGAAGCTAAGTCATTAATGAATAATACAAACAGAATTGGCCAATAAAACTCCCCTTGGGGTACCCCGTTATTAATAGAATATTCATCCAAAAATGTATTATTAAAAAAAGTTGCGATTTTTCTTTTCGACAGATAACTTGAAAACCAGTCCAAAGATCTACCAACTATACCAAGCCGAGCCAGTTTAGATAAAAGTAGCTCGTGATTGACCATGTCAAAGGCTTTATTTATTATGTAAATCGATGAATACCGCCCCGATGTAATGTAATAATCCATGGCTTGGAGCCAGTCGTTAGTTACTTTCAACAATGCCGTTATCTCTAAATCCTGATTATTCTGGTAACTTGAATGAACTTAAGTAGCTGAATTAGGACGATCCTTTCGAGGATTTCAGAAATACAAGTATATAAGAAAAGAAAGTGGTCTATATCAGGATTTGATTTGTCCCCTTTTTATGTAGAGGGATTATCTTAGCTACCTTCCATGATGTTGGCACTTTCAGGACTTCTAATGCTACTATCCAGTCTAGTTTCATTGAGTGCAAAAATGTTACTTTGGTTTTTCATAACAAGTAAATTGGCAATGATAAGATGAACAAATTTCAAACCCATAATATATAATTCTGAATATTTCATGAAGCTAATATGATAATTTTTCTGGGTGACCTCTGATTTATTTTCATGAGAATTTGATACAATTGCAATAGATTCAGGTACATTTAGTACATTCATCATAAAATGGCAATACTTTCATGATACATTTCGGGCATCGCCATTACAAAAATAATTCAGACATGTCATTATATTTGCGCAGGAGGTATGAATCCAATCATCACAAGCAGTACAAAGAAGTGCTCTATGGTTGACTTTAACATGATTATTGCATAATACACATACACAAATTGAGGTTCATCACAAACAGAAAACAGAAAATATAAAATCAAATATGAAACCAAGTGACAAAAAAATAAATATGTAAATAGTAAAACAAAAACAACAAGAAAACAGGTGGAGACAAACCGAATGTTAAGTCAGTGTCGACGAAACACCGGCATAAAAACCCCACGAGTACTTATAGCACAATGGTTTGACTCCTCCTGTGCAGCCGTAATCATCTGTCTTGTTTACTGTGTCATTAAGACTTTTGAATTTAACGAATTAAATGACGCAGAAGATTGAGCCTCGTGCGCTACTAAATAGCAGTTGTAATCACTGCATCATTTTAACTTAAAGGAAATTATTAGCGCATGCACCAATAATTCGACGCAATGTTTGCACCATTCATTTTGCATTCACTTCGTTCACAAGGTCACCCTCACATGGTGCGTCAAACACTGCGTCAGTCATTGACGTTACTAGCAAAATGACGCTTGATATGCAACGCCAACGGCCAAATTGTGCGTACACATTGCATTCATCCCTCGCGTGCATCATTCATTTTGATCGATGTTTACCGAATCATGAATTCATTTTAGTTTGAATGTATCAATTTGACGCAGGGTATTGACGCCCCTTGTGCAACGGGCATTAAGAAACTCAAACGCGACATTACCTGAGGCATACATCGCCATTAGTCCAGTAAGTAAAGACACTGGATACGTTTCCCCCCGGTGAGCAGGTAACGATGAGCACACTGAGAGCGTAGGGTGCAGGAAGGGAGAAGGCCAACGCCAAACAGAACCCTATCAGAGGCAAGAGGACGAACTGACATAGCATCCCAATCAGAGCACTCAGGGGACGTCGGATCTGGTATCAGTGAAGACATAGTCGAATATTTAGAACATAATTATAATCCCCATGGTTAGAATCATGATGTTGAAATGATTATTTGTATGTGGTATTTAACAAATGGCTGAGCGCAAAGGTGTTCATCAGTAGACCTACACCATTTTATAAAACATATGATTAGAGACTATTGAAGTTTGACTACATTATTCCAATGAACGAAAATGTGAGATCATGTAAGAGGAAACAAAGATGTTGCCTTATGGATGTAGTGACGGAAGCAAACAAAATGTACGTATAGGCCTATGAAAAAGAAAATTGCCAATGGGAAAAGATTTGATCAGCACCCCTATGATTTTAACGAATAGATGATTTGAAACTCACGATCAGCAAATCGTTTTTATTTATAATAATATATACATAACTTTTATTAACACTAACGATAATGTATATTCGAAGGAGTTCCCACTTAAGTAGTCGAAAGATGAGATTTCAAGATCAATACCATAGAGCAAAACGTTCTATTTCATTCGTTTAGCATTAGGTCGCAGGGTCGACACTTCAACGACCGAGACATAAAAAAACGGAGACCAATCAAGGTTTCGATTCATCACTGTATTAAGTTCATACACGGCAGCAATGATAGGCTAATCGTTACTTTCAAATTGAATATTCCATGGATCGTCAAAGACAAAATATGAAATTTAATAGGGTTTCATTTGCCGCTAAATATATTTTCCGAAAATATGTATCTAAGACAAATAACCAAACAAAATATTAGCTTTTCATAGTTGCCGACAAGTAAAACAAAATAATTTAGGACAGCTATTTGTAGCTGGGGTCTGGGGTGTCATAAAACCACACCCATTCTGGCAATCATTTGCATCTATGAGAGCACTTATTGGTAAAGGCTTTAAGCTCATATGCTAGAGGTCTCAAGTTCGATCCTCGCTTGGTGCTTACACCCTTGGGCAAGTTGTTTACCAGCATCTGTTCCACTCCACCCAGATGTAGTGGGGTACCTAGTAAATAATTACAGGGCCCGCGAGAAGAGCAGTATTAATATCAATTGAATTGTTTTTTTTAAATTATCTATGGTCAGTTTCAACTTACGCCTTTCTTCAAATCATCTACAGTGATTGAGCAACCCATAGCGATCATGATGGTAAGAAGGGAAAATAAAATGATGACCTGGCGAACCAGTCGAATCAAGTTGACCCGAGGCGACAATCCCTCTTCGGTAGAAGTTGTCTCGTTCCATGCCAGGTCAGGGAGCAGGTCAGAGGTCACCTCGAATGTAATCCCTGGCGTTGTCATGGTGATGATCTGTACAAGATTGGGAAAACGAAATCAACTGATGCAACCACCAACCCAAACACTAAGTGGAGTTGAAATCCACTCTTTCATGTGAGGGATTACTTTATTTGGAGTGGAATCCATTCCAAATTAAAGTGGAATCCACTCAAAGTAGTGAATTGAGGTTGTGAGAGTGGATCCCACTATTTCGAGCGTTGATTTCCACTCCAAAATAATAATAAATAATAATAATAATAATAGTGGGTTCTTGTATAGCGCTCATGTCTGTCATACGTGACACTCCTGGCGCTCCCAATTATTACCCTGGCTTTAGCACGGCTGCCATACGGCGCTCTAGCATTTCAAGGAATTAATTTCTGCCAGGTACCCATTTACATCACCTGGGTTGAGTGTGGCAAATGTAGATCAATGTCTTGCCAAAAGACATTAGTGCCGCGTCGGGACTCGAACCGCGGACCTTGTGATCGACAGTCCGGTGACATTATGAAGTGATCTCTAACATAACTACCGATTGAGTAGCCACTCCTATACAGGTGTATATAAAGAGCAGAGAGTAGAGAGCATTGGTGAGAGTGAGATTATTAGAATAGGCATTTTGAACTCGGGATTCTTGTTCTATAACGGACTGTTCTTCAAACACACTTATAATTATGTCACTTATACCGCCATATATCCATGTTTTTAGCGTACCTCACCAAGTTTTTCATTTGACTATACAAAAAGTTACCTGAAGCTTGCCCGACTTGGGAACCAATATTCTCTGCAAACAGATCCAATCCATGGATATGCTTTCATAGTTGCATTGCATCAAAGGCCTAGTACGGGTACACTCGCGCCAGTAGGCAATAACCCGAATATAATGAACTTACCATAATCTAAATTTTAAAACGAACAAAACAGACAAGAAATGCACTTTGTTACTGTGAAATTAAATGCAATTTTGTCATCAAACTTTACTATATAAGATATAACAACTACAAGCAGGCTACCTCAAGAGAAAAGAGAATGGTAGGCCTATGGAGACTTACCCAAATATATCCGCTCTTGGAACAAATCTGCTCGAAAGTAGTTAATTTGCAGAACTCTATATTACATCATTGTAAGACACTAAAATCTAGGTGAGCTAGTTTTACGTTTACTTTGGAATCTCCTTTGTTAAAACGTGATTGTGTATGGTTACTGAAGTATGGTCACCCAGCACATAACTTTGAAAAGAGCTTGCCTCTTTGAACAAAATATGGAATACGAAAGAATTCGATTTCACATATATTATTATGGGACATGTACACCGTTTTGCTTAGGCGATATACATGATTGTATCAGACCTAAAGCTCGCAGAAACTGCAAGGTGACACTGTGTGAAGCAGGGATCCCACTTAGCCGAGTTGGAGCCTCGAGTTGTGGCGAGCTGGCGCGATCTTATGGCAAGCAGTTATATCATTAAAACATATTCGTGCAAATCTAAAAGTCCCTAATTATAGTTTTAAAACTTCCAACACTCTTTGTTCCGATCCCATGTGAACCTCGTCGTATTTATTTGGTCATTGTTTAAGACTTCGACGTTTTGCTGACTTAAAGTTTGAAACTATACAACGATGCCGTGCGAACCTTGCTATTTATCATAACGTCTGACGGGAGCGAGATCGGGTTTTTAAACTCAATGGCAGTTCCAGTGGTGTCACCTCAGAGTTGTTTTCTGTTCTTGTTTTTTGTTGTTATAAGAATATTGTTCACCTTCCTTTCTTTTCGGAGGTAGTCAACATTTTCAGACACTGTTAGACGCCCCCCCCCCCCCACCCCACTCCTAACTCTTAATAGACAATTTTCAGATGTGTTGATATTCAGGGGGGATCGGAATAATAAAAATAAAAATAAAGAAATCACCATTTCTCATCCCCAGCTTCCCCTTTCAGGAATCTTGGAGGGATCCGGGTGTGAGGAATAGGGAACTAAACATAACGTTTGAAAGGTAAACCCGAAACGAATGATCATTTCATTTATGGCCGAGGAAAACTAACACAAAATAGGCCTATATATTCATAATACTATTAACATCACTATCATTTTGCACTGTCATCAAAAATGTAAATCATTGCAACAACGCGATACCATCAATGTCAACACAACAAAACTCTGCAAGAAGCACATTCCTAATTCGGACTCTGCCACCCATTTTACTTATAATATGGTATCTGCCTTAACATGTGACAGTAATCTGTCGGCGGGAATTCATGTTGCATGCTGTTATACACTAGCCTAGTTGTTGCTATATGAGGCATTCTCTCATTTAACTCTTCAGTTGTCATAGCTATACTTATGTGTATATGAATGTATCTATCACTTTATCTTTGTATGTCATTAATGTGCATTATATTTTACTTTATTAGTTGCTGATAAAGCTCTTTTGCTTTTAAGAATAAATATGGCGTTTGTTCGGCACGTTGAAATCCTTTCTTGTAGTGGAAGTTGACGCAAAGTAGAAGAGTCTAGCGCCATCATGTGCTATACTTATTTTCTTGTTCCAAAGCATTCTCTGTCGCTATTATATGTTGTTAAACCAAATGAACCGTATTCTACTAAGAATTAAACCCGTCGCTGGATCCATGCTTCCTTGGAGAAGGAAAGGCTTAACCGGCTCAGAATCGTAGTGACGTCAGACAAGTAATGCGATTGTCTACGATTTGAAGCCGATTCAGCTTTTATTCTGACTATAGAAGAATTAAATACACTGACATGCCGGTTATTAAAGGTAAAGACCAGTATTGGCAACGCCCCAATTTCAAAAAATGAAATGGAAGCTCTCATTACCAATCATGTGAAAGAATATGTTTTGACTAATACATGATGATAAAAAATTTGCCGGGAAACCGCCTACTAATTCATATATTTGGTAAATTTATTTCTCTCATGGTCTGGTGAGAGAGATAGGGTAGTCCCATATACATCTTTCTGTGTATAGTGCTTGTAACTTTACGAAGAATGGGCCAAATTTCTTATCATTTTGATGATTCCAGAACCTTGCAGATGCTAGATGCTAGATGATCAACCTTTTCTGATCGATTCCACAACGTTTCTTTCACAATGCAATCGCATGACCATTACTGGTCTTTACCTTTAATAATGTTACTTTAGAAGGCAGATAGTAGTTGTAAAGATTCCATATCAAGATTTAAGATTTTATTGTCCATATATAATACAGAAATTTGTTTTCCATTGGTGTAACGAGTAATATGTAAAACACATGACAAAAACATGGTGTCGTGTGCTGAAAGCCAGAAGGGCGTCAAGACCCCGCCCCCACCCCCCCCCCACACACACACTCAGTGTTATCTATGCTTGTTCCCTCTTTTTTAAAGCACCCCCTATCTGAGGACTGCCAACATTTCCGAACCCCCCTTTCGCGGGCTTTTCGCGGGCTTTTACTGCCTTGGAGACCCCCTTAAATCTGGAACACTGCTCAATGTAACCCCCTATCTATGATATTCAAGATATTTTATGACCCCCTTTTAAAATTTCTAAGGTATCCAAAGAGAGAGAAAGTAAAAACACCCCCTTTTTAAAGAAATCTCCGGGTGAAAAGTCAAATACACCCCCTTTTTTTACAATTCTCGGGCCGGACTTTGTCGCACGAAAAGTACCCCTTTGCCGGACATTTTGGTAACACGCATGGTATCCTTCCGTTCTCGGAGTGGGGGGGGGGGGGGGGTCCAGACTCTATAAAGAAAAAGTCTATGATCAGGTACGGTCCTCCGGCTCTCAGCACAAAACATGTCAAGACAATTATATGACTTATACATAGCAAGAATTTTAAATACAATTCTGAATCACATCATGAATATCAGATATACAATCAGATGTACATTCGCCCTTTCTTCTCAAGTTGGATCGCAGGAGAATCGTATATTATGCTCCGGGCTTTAATCCAATGATCAGTGTGTTTTATCTAGGCCAACGCTAAATCAGGTGTTGGAAAGTATATGGAAAGTGTGTCAATAGTAACACCGACCATTATCGTTCGGATCACCTCTTTGTCAAATGTTGTTTAAACTCAAGCTCTTCGATATAATTTCACTGCTCGATTTCGATAGAGGAAAAAAAAAATCAGAATTGTTTGTAATAATATATTTGTAGATTTATAGTCTTTGTAGTAATACCGTTTCAAAAGTCAAGCTTATATAATAATTTGTCCTCTCTTATTTCTTATAAATATTGTTTAATTTGCATGATTGTATATATTTGAATTTGTTATAAATTACATAATAATATCAAACCCTCTTTAACATCTCTCTTATTTTAATTTCTCTCCGCGCATTCAGCACTATAATTATCATAAACTCCAGATTCGTCCATTTTAATTTATTTTTGATCCGTCAAACCACTGCGATTCTTAAGAGAAAAAACATGTGAAATTTCCATAGTTATTTATAGGGGTGCACCCCTCCCATAGGCAAAAATTATACTTTTGTTTATTGTAAATCAGTTATTTTATTTCTTTCTTAGTTGTTTGCCCCATCCTCCATGCACCCCCACCTGCAAAGAATCTTGATGCGCCAATGGTTGACAAGTAGATTGGTTAAGAGAAAGGGTGAAATTAATGGATTGTATCTAATAAAAAGTACATGGTCTGGTCGAACTATAAAAGCAGTGATCCAAGAACTGATTAAATCATACGAGCTCTTCTTCCTTTTAATTGTCGTAACCTCGTTGCGGTATTTTATGAATGGGGTCAGTTCTAGTGCCAAGGACTGGTCTTTTCCGGATTAGATCTTCATAGGACATGTCGTATATGCTCTGATTCTGTAAGGCTTAAGTTGCTGTATCTTTACAGATTTAGTATTTTGGTTACAAAGGGAAATTGAATTTTTTTATTAAGAAGAGTTCTAATACACTGTACAAATAATTGTATAAAATAGGATATTTGTTAGCGAGTATCCGATTGGCTGAAAGTCGCCACGTGACACTCACCATTTTGCGTGCACGAGCGTGACTTTTTTTGCACGGTATAACGCGTCTTTTCTCTTTCTCTCTCGCCCCTTTCTGTTTTCTTTTCTGTCTCTCTCTCTCTCTCTCAATCTGCCTATATGAAATTATAATATATATATATATATTTATCTGCCTTGTTGCTTCATATTTCTCCCTGTTGCGGTCTGTGTATGCACTCCTCATCTAATTTGTTCCTGTCTGCCTGATCTGTCCCCTCCCCGTCCACCGTCCCACCATCTCTCCCCTTCTCTCTCTCTCTCTCTCTCTCCCTTTTCTCCTTTTCTCTCTCTCTCTCTCTCTCTCTCTCTCTCCTTTCTCTCTCTCTCTCTCTCCTTTTTTTTCTCTCTCTCTCTCTCCCCTTTCTCTCTCTCTCTCTCTCTCTCTCTCCTTTTCTCTCTCCCTCTCTCTCTCTCACTTTATCTATTTCATCTACCTTCCTAAAACTTTCTTTCTTATCCCATCCTCTTCTTTCTTCCTCTCTCTGTCTCTCATCCTTTTTATTTCACCCCTTCCCAAATGCTTCGTCTTTATCCCTTCTTCCTCCCTTAATTCTCTCTCTCTCTCTCTCTCTCTCTCTCTCTCTCTCTCTCTCTCTCTCTCTTTCTCTCTCTCTCTCTCCTCTCCCATATCCCTCTCTCTCTCCCTCTCCCTCTCTCATCCTCTTTCATCACCTGTTGCGGGTATTCCTAGCCGGGTACAGGTTTCGATGAGTTTCCGGCTTCTATCCTCGAGTCACCTGTGTAACCGAGTAAGATCCGGTTCGACTGAAGTCAACTCCCTAAGGAGGGAGTAACCAGTTGAATCATTCACATTAGGGGCACATTCAGGATGTCGTAAAATTAACAAATTGGGGGTCCAATTTTTCAAAAGTCTGAGGAGCAAACAAAAAGAAGAAAAAAAAGGTGATGTAAATGGGTACCTGGCAGTAATTAATTTCTTGAAATGATAGAGCGCCGTTGTGGCAGCCTTGCTAAAGCCAGGTAATAATCAGGAGCACCAGGAAGGAGTGTCAAGTCTGACAGATATGAGCGCTATACAAGAACCCAATATTATTATATAATCGAGCAAAAAGGGCTGTCC